AAGCACTGCGATATATCGCCCAATTAACTATAATTTGTGAAGGTAGTTTCTCTAATAATTCATGCATAAGACTAGGGTTATTAATGTAGTCTTTTAAATTAGATGCTTCCAATAAAATACATAAATTTATAGCTACATTAAAAGGACTTTTAATGTAGCTATAATTTGGGGCACACATTGAGGTAAAATTAAAAAACTTGAAACACTGACTCTTGCTGGACCTTTTAAACATTTTTGTAATCTTAATAAATTCTCATGATTATCTACTTGCATAGTTCAGTAGATCTTTCAAAACTACTAATAAAAACAGGCCAATCATGTGGATTGCCATTAAAAATAGGGAGATCTCCAGGATCTCTTCTTTTATATAATATACCTGAACTTTTATCGTTATAAGTTGGCAGAGGCTTACCAAGTGTTGGAGTAAAGGGGCAACATTGTCGATAAAGGGCTTATCTATATTTAAAGAAAGGAATTTATTGACCAAATGGTTAGTTTCAATTATTTCCTCTTCATCGATGTCCTGACTATCATTCGAGCACTCATCTTCTTCTATGATTCTCCTAGACTCCTTGGTTAACTCTCTTTCTTGACGTAATAGATCTCGTTCATCCTGCAGAAGTTTCATTTTTGTTTTGCTGCTTGTTGATGACGAACTTTTTAAGGAGGTTGCAGAACAAGATTTCTTGATTTTGGAAAATTGTCGGTGAGACTTCTTAGTGGCTGCGTCTACACAAAGAGGGAACTTCCAGCTGTCATCACCAATTACTTCGGAATCATCCTGTACATTTACGCATTCAAAACAGCACCATTTTTTACATTCTGTACATTCTACCATCCGTTCTTCACGATATGGTTTGCGGCACACAGGACATAGATCAATTTTGGTTCGTCCAGCAACTGATGGACCCATATTCGTAGACCTTGTAAGATTGTGTGATTCAGCAATCGCGTGTGATGAATAGAATTTGAGCTTGTTGGGAATTTATCTTTATTGAACAGCCAGCAATTGACATATTTGTAGTTTACTGTTTTTATTTGCGTAAGAACAACTCAAATTCCTACAATATATAAAATTAATAATATAAAAAAACTAATTAATTCCCATTACTTACTGTTCTCTTGCTGTCTGCTAAATTAGTAAATTATTTAAATTTTTCCCTAATCGGTGACAGTTTGTTTTCTGACGTTTTGATATTATATTTGACATAGTTTATAGAACAGAAGCAACGGGAAATTTTGGGTAACATGATAGAACTAAAAGTTAACTAAATACATTTTATACAAATAATAAATATTCGTAACAATGTTCCTTTATTAAAAATTGTACTGTTTTTTCTTGAAAATGAGAAAATAAAGCTTTTTGGTTGTAAATTAGTCTTAATTTATGTGTTTTTAATCAAATCAAATAAGTTTGTCAAATTTCTCTTTGTTTATTGTATCGCCCTAACGGATTAATACCTACTATAAAAAAAATAAACTTACCCCAAATTTACTTTATTTACCTTAATACTATTTTAAAGTTAATAATAATGTCTATTTAATAAATATAATCCCAAGAAATAGAACACACTACGCCTATGCACATATAGAATATGGAACGAATTAACTAAAATATATTTCTCTCATTCCCATTTTTTCTAAGAACGTAAATATATATAGACTAGCGAACTGTTGTTAAGTTTACCGATGTTTCAAACTATTCAATGAACTTATCTAACTATGCGCTCGTGAATAGCACAAATTTATATTGTTACGGTGTAACGAGTCTGTCACTTCAATAATTCTTGTATCACTTTAAATAAAATTTTTAAATCCATATCGCCTAAATATTTCCTAATTTTAATTTATAAGTTAGTATTAAACAGCGACACCAAGCGACACTTTTTTGGCAGACATGATTATCCGGTTAGCAATTAGCGCTCATTATGGTTTTAACTTTTTGGAAGACAAGTTCGGTTAACTATAAACTAACTAACTATACAACTAAATGAAAGGTTTTAGTTTGTTTCGTAGTGTATACCGTTGTATTTATAGCCACTCTTAGCCGGTAAATTGATTTAATTATAAATAAAAAGTATAAAAACCATCAGCCATTTTAACTTCTAAAATATGGTCATTTTTCCTTCGATAGTGATATGTCTATCTGTCATTTTTCACATTTCATTAAGAAACATTCTAGATTTAGATATAGTAATGTTATAAAATCATATCAATTTTCTATTTTATTTGCCGGCCTTAAAAACATATAATTATCCATCTTCAAAACTATCTATTAAGACTATCTGTAAAAATATTGTGTCTCATACCGTTCTTTTATATTCTAAAATATATCCATAGCAAGCTTTTCGGTAAAATTATCTATTTGTTCAATCTATTTTCCATAAAATATTGTCAAACCATGCGAAAGTCACGTTATCTACAAAATTAGACCTTTTTGCTTTGATACTAGCTTACCAGAAACTTTTTTGTAATATCTTTAAAGTTATTTCATTTGTTAATACACCTTGTGTTTTTCCCTTCTTTTTATTAAGCGTAAGAAGGAACTCTTAACACAAATGTTCTTTTTAGCCTACTTAAAAATTAAATCCACGAGTCAAGGATTTTCATTTTTTTTATTGGGATTTAGTAAAAGAAAAAAAGAATTACGTTTTGGATTTGCACATTTGCCCGTCACCCTTAGCTGTTCCCTCAGAGGTCCAGATCTCTCTAAGACTATTCCCGGACCACTTCAGGGAACCAGCCGGAAAGACCTCCCTCATTTAGAGTGTGGAACATTTTTATATTAAGTCTTATTCAGTAATTGTGAATAATTTTTTTTTATAATATTTCTTTTTCAACATTAAATCATACTATTTCATCTAATAATAAGGACCCGTCATTTTTTTTAAATAATTCTAAATAACATAAGGACTAATTGTCAACTACAGGTCGAGGTTTTAAATTCCCCCCTTTCAATTCTGTTATACGCTTTTATGTGTAGAAATTTAATCAGAGAATTATTTATTGGTATTTTATTATTACATATTTAAACCTTTGGACATCTATCCCGTCAGGATAGTGTCCTCATTACTTTATTAGAACATTTAATTGAAAGCCGAAGTACAGAGTTACATCTCTAGTAGGCCAGTAAATTACCTTTTTAGGTCGAATCATTAAAATTTTTCTTATATTTTATTATTTGTAAATTCAGATTATCAGGGATCAATTTTGTATAATCAGGGAATTTTTCTTTAGTATATAAGTAACTAGGTTAACTGTACATACAATGGTGGTGGGTAGTCAACTAGCAAATTATACTGTATATACTTGGCTAGGTATTAAATTTATGGTGAAAACTAAATATTTCAATGAATACCTGTTTTCCTTTTTTAATTTAGCAAACAGTTTTACAAGATACCTTGGAAGGTATATGTTAATACTTTCCTGGCACCCAATCACATCTTAGAGCAACTTCCATAGTTTACCACTTTCATTTACATTATTTCTAGTTTTTTTATTACCTTGTCATTCATTTTCTCATCTTACGGTCTCTGTAGGGCATGCATATTGGCCAAATCCTCTTTTGAGTGTCAAGTAGTCACTCTCCGGCATATTCTGCTAGCCAGCTTTAATTTATTTTTTTGTTACATTACTCCAAATATTTGTGTTAATCGCACACATTATTTGTTACAACGGGGCCAAATTTTATGGGACTGTCTCATGGTACAAAGAATAATAGGTATGATACTCCCGAGAGAGAAATTGGGAAAAGTTCGCGCATTACTTCACAAGGAGAGAGATTTTAAATATTTCCCGTAAGACGTTAGCAATCAGAACACAATTAATTGTTAATTGGCAATAAAAAGTCATTTTAATGGGTTAATAGAGTTTCTATTGAACTATTCCGGATTTATTAAAATATAGGTGTTTTATTATTTTGATTGAAAAAAATAATAATACAGTAAAAAAATAAATCTGTAAAATAAATTTGTGAGTTTTTTTTTGTTTTTTCGCTTTTTAATCCTAGAAATGTAATCTTCGTAAATTTTACGAACTAGCTTTTGATTGTATTGTCTTATTTGGCGCCAATACAAAACGTAAACAGAAGAAAATAATTTATCAATAATTATCTGCACTAAAATCGGAAAGCAAATCAAACACAAGGTTTTAAGTTACAATTTTTATTAATATTCTTTTATTTCTTATATCTTCTTTAAGTTTTAGGTTTAATTTCTTAATTTTGAAATACAGATTGCTTTTTGTTTTTGGTAGATAAAGAGAAGGAACCGCATCACCCTTCCGTTTAGGTCCTTTTTTTGATTCAAATTTCTTTTAAAGTCTTCAGGCTTAATGTGTTTGGAACAAATCCTTGAGGTTTTAGTATTCAATTTGTCTTTACGGCAACAATCAATAACCCACAGTTTTTCCACTACCGAGTCCTTGGGAAAACTATAAAACCTAACAGATTTATCGGCACCTTTTGTCTGATTATCACTTAAACTACTAGCTACTGAACAACGCATTTGATATTTACGTTGTAAACTATTCTTAGCAAAACCCCCCTAAAAAATACAAGATAGATATAAGTATGGTTGAGTATTAAATACTGACTCAATAATAATTAAACATACCTTATTTACAATTTCTAAAAGACCAAAATGTTGTCCATATAAAGTAGGTATACCTACAAAGCCACTACCACTGAAAAAACTCGAATAGAGAGTTGAATATATTCTTAATAATAATTCTTTTTTACTAAAATGGTTATTCTTTGTACCATGGGACTATCTTACTTTTCACTTATTTACATGAACAAATAATACACAATAAAAATGACCCTGGTAAGAATTTACTTCTGAGATTAAACATGGTTGCCCTTAGCTCTTAGTTCAATTTGTAGATTAGTCACCTTTAATTGAAAATTGTCGGACTATAATAATTACGAAATCGCAATACATTGCAACAGTGTTTTACGGTGGTCTGAAATAGTAAACAGTTAATCGGAGTTAAGAACTTACTCTGCACTTTATCAGCCTTTCGTTTTGATTCTAGTTTTGCCAAAGCCAATTTCCTCTTACGTTCAACTTCTTCTAGGGTACACTTTTTTGGCTCACTTTCTGTAAAATAGCAAAAAATTCTATTAGTAATACTTAATTTTTCCAAATAATTATTATATTAACAATGTATGATAATTTGTGTAAAAACAAAAACTTGAAGACCTGCCTCAAGCTAATTGAGCTTTATGGACGCTTGAATTTTTTTATCTACAAACTTACTGTTTTGCTAATTAACTATAGTCTAACAATCTATTGAAAAGAGTGACTCATTGTCAAGACTCAAATGTTAGACCGCTTAACATCGAATTACAACTGGGAGCCGTCTGACCTTGTCGTTGGTGAGGACGCTTAAGGGAGTTCCCACCCTTCAGCCGAAAGGCTTGGAGGTGGGACTCCTGACCAAGAAACCACTCAATCCTACTGCTAAGCATTAAGTTACCGTGGCGAGGGCATGTAAGATATTGTGGGTAACAATATCACGAACGGTACCCTTGGGAAACAGGGCGAAACCCCATTGTATATAGCCTTACTCCTGTATGCGGGGTCTGCAGGAGAGGACCACCTATTCCCTAGCTACTCGTGGGATATAATGTACAAGAAATAACCAATAATAAAAAAAGAAACCAAGACAAGAGAGAGTCAGGGACTACTGACTTAGACTCTTCATCAATACATAGGAGGGGAGAACCAGTAACCACTAAATTAGACTCTTCAATCAGCTTCAACACTCAGGCAGATGAAACCCATAGATCCTGACTGTAAACAAAAAGCAAAGGAAAGTCAGGCCTCTGCACTATTGTCTGAGAGGATTATCAAAATCGAACTCAAGACAAAAATGCTTTCAGGGACTCAGAGGAACAAAATGAAGAGAAAAATGGCAGAAGAGAGTTGGATGGATGAAAATCCTCACAAAAAGAAGACCAAGCCTGCCAAGAAAGATATGCCTAAAAACAAGAAGAGAGCAGGAGCATTCAGGATAAAAGATCCCGCTCTGAGTCAGACTCCTAAAAGTGACAAGAACGAAGCCAAAAAGCGTAAGATTATCTCTAAAGGGGTAAGTTACAGTTAAACGCCATCCCGATCATACATTAAATCAAGAACAGGCAGACTTGGTACAAAACAAACCGCTGGAAGTACTTTATTTTTGTCGATAGGTCACTTGAATCAAAAGATATCGAATTTTTACCGTTGAGCTAATAAAAACTTTATTGAACGGTTCATTCTACAAAAAAAATGCTTATAAGCAATTTTGTTTAAAATTATCTCAGCTACATTTTTTATTTGAAACAATTTTGTCATGTCACAACAGTGTACATATTCTTGGTAAATCGATTATTTTGCGTTTTTACCCCCCTACGTGGGGGCTTTTAGGGAAAGCCCGGAGGCAAATGTGGTAAACTTTTTTGCATCTCTTTTGGGGTCATAAAATTAATATTCTCGGCAAAATTCAGATTGTTCATATGATTTTTAGAAGTTCAGTGGTATTTTCGTTTCTGACGACTGGAGTAAATTTTCCTTCCTTACAATGGCAAATTGGTCGAAATAAAACTTTAATTTTCAGTCAAGATGGTATTATTCATGTAGCTATCGCGAAACTACGAAAGGTGAACTTAAGCGATCTTTCTACCCATATATAGGAGTGACTAAAAATGTAAATATGCATTTTAGTAGGTGGGAATGTTCCGTCCCTCCACACCTATTTTAATGTTTTTATTAAGTAGTTCTTTATCATTTTCATTTTATATTTAATTCTTTAAGTACGTGTGTGTCTTATATACGTAAACTAATACGATAATGTAGACACTGTCCCTAGCATGCTTAAGGGACGCAAAGCTATTTTTAGCGTACTGACACTCACACTCAGTATTAGTATAACCTCTGAGATACTCCAGTTTTGTATAAAAAACACCCCCCCCCCCCAATAATTGTTAATACTCACAATTATACAAAGGGCAAGAGAATCTGAAATCAAAGTTTGCAAGAAAGCTTTTCTTAACCTTTATAAGATGATCGTTTAAGGCGAATACGAGATTCCCTGATGATGACTGGAACTTCCCCCACAGATAAACGGGGAGTCCATCAGAAGAGACCAAAAAAACTCCAGAATGTATTGTAGAACTTATTAAAATCCACATTAAATCCTATCCTGTTAGACAGTCGCATTATTCACGCCGTAAGAATCCAAACTGTTTTTATTTATCCGAATCTCTTACTTTGAAGGATCTACCTACACAGTATGTTTCTGCGAAGTTATAATATAAAAATACCGTAGAAAACCTGCTGGAGAGTATTTAGAACATATTTTAATATTAAATTTGGATTTCCGTAATCTGACTCGTGCTCAGAGTGTGATAAACCGACCTGAAAACTTAACCGTGCCGACCTTGGAGCCGAAGAACGAAAAGTGCCGAAAGAAAAAGAGTTATACCTTCGTAAGGCTAAATCATTTTTTGAACTGAAACGAAAATTTAAAACATATGCAAAAGCTGGCGAAGTGATGTGCATTAGTTTTGATTTTATGGAAAACCTCCCCCTTCATATACATGACCTAGGGACTGATTATACCTCGATCTACACTTATCTCGAAAATCGAGGCCAAAAATTGTGCTAACGAGGTCACTTTAATGTTGCATTACCTTAAACATAACATCCATAATCACAATTAAGTAATTTTTAATGCCGGTTGCCCAGGACAAAATAAAAACGGTTCATATTCTGAAAATTGTTGATTCGGTAGAATACATATTTCCAATGAGAGGCCATTCATATCTGTCAAATTATTCAGATTTTTTTTAATAGAAAAAAGAATAGATGCCGAGAGACCATATGATTAGGATAGAGTGATTTTAAGTGCCAGAATGAAACCCAACCCATGGTACAATGAATACAAGGTGTGATATTGCGCATGACATTTGACAGCTGGCCCGGGAGTATGATGTAGTCAAGAACGCTCGAACCCATTATTATAGGTTAACGTACACATTAATTTTGAAACTATGGTCAAAAAATGATCGATTTTTTTTAAATGTTTTGTTTTGGTTATAATTGAATAAAACATATATTTTCAGTATCGTAAAACCGTTACTTTTTCTGGAGGTTAAGGCCAAATATTTATTTTTGTTTTCATAGTCGGCAACAGGAGAGCTCTCTCCTGTTGCCGACAAGAATGTAGAGCGTAGAATAATTTTTAATAGTTTTAAACTGTTTGTCCTTGTGTTAATGTAGTGTTATGTACAATTTATGTCCAATCTCATGTTTATTACATTCTGCGCTTGCTGGATAGCCCAAATTTGACGTAATGCCCCTGATGATGCTGTAGAAAGCGAAAGTACTTGGGCAAGATTTGATTATTAAATTTGTGCTCGATATTGTCTCCGGAGGCGTGTCAGGCAGAAGCTGACCGCCGTGCCGGATGCATTTAGAAATTCGGAGAAATACTTGGAAATTCCAAGTGTGGGCAAATCCGAATTTCTAATTGACTCGATGTAGGGAAATTCCACTTTTACTACGTAAAACAAAGGATTTGTTGTATATAAAAGCAGACGGAATTTCTCTCATCGGTCAGTCGAGCTTGCCTCTTCTTCTGCAGACCTAGTCGGTGCTATTATTGTTCCGACTAAGCTATTGTTTTATTTCTTATTTTCTGATAACCATTTATATTTTATTATTGTATATTCAGACCTTTTCAGGTTAGAATATTACTTTGACTTATATTTGTTCATATACTGATTATTTGATATTTTATTTGATTATTTTGATTGTTTATTTTTCTTGTATTTTGTATCTAAGTTGTTCTTCCGTAAGTTAAGAACACTTAGAAATATTTACCTTACTTTTTTCTATTTTATAAATTTGATTTTGTACTTTGTGTCTAAGTAGTTCTTTTCGGTAAGTCAAAGAACTCTTAGAAATATTTCTCTGATATTTGACTTGTTAATTTTATTGTGTTCTTAAGTCATTCTTTTCCGGTAAGTCAAAAGAACACTTAGAAATATTTTCATAATCATTATTGCATTATTATTTCCGATATTTATCTAAGATATTTTCTTAATATATTTGTCTCTTTTATTTTACCATTTCATGCTGAGTTGTTTCTTCCGTAAGTCAAGAAACACTTAGCAATATTTCCATATCTTTTCTGTATTTGATTTTCTTATTTTCTATTATAAGTTGTTTCTTCCGTAAGTCAAGAAACACTTACAAATATTTGAATTCTTATTTTACTATATTTGATTCTCTTGTTTGTTTTCTGTTCTAAGAAACACTTAGAAATATTTCCATACATTGTTTCATATTTACATATTTCATTTTTCTATATTTCTGTCCTAAGTTGTTTCTTCCGTAAGTCAAGAAACACTTAGGAACATTTCTCTTGCATTATAATTTTTATACCATTTGGTTTACTTGTTTTACCAAGTTATTCCTTCCGTAAGTCAAGGAATACTTAGATTATTTTTTACCTGTTCTGTTTTCTATTTTGATCTGCTATTTTGTAACTGTTCCTTGGAACTGTTACCTATAACAGATACTTGTCACGGTAACTGTTATTTTATACCAGTAGCAGTAATAACACGTTTTACCAGCGACAAGCAAAGATGGTCAACACCCGATCAAATTCCGGGGACAGGAAGAAGTCCGAAGAGCCGGCGATGGGTCCCACAGGCCCAAATGCCCCCTCTCGGCAACAATATTTGCCTTAATTTTTCAAAGTTAATTTAATAATAATGAAGAATATTACACTCACATAAAACGGTGTCTCCAGGATTCAGCAACAGAAGCCATTGGATACCAAATACAGAATCAAAGAAAACTTTCATATTGGTTTGACGAAGAAATCGAACAAGAAATAAAGGAGAAAAGAGACCAATATCAAAAATTCTTAAATACAAAGAATATAACGGATAAAATAATCTACAAGAAGTCTCAAGCTAAAGTATGAAAAATGATATGTCGGAAGAAAAATGAAGCATGGCAACAAAACTGTAACATGATAAATTCACTTCTAGGAGGATGAAGAAGCACAGAAAGTTGGAGAGTCTTAAAATCTTTACGACAAGATAAGAAGGGAGAGATAGTGTCAATAATAACAATGGATGACTGGGACCAATATTTTGAGAAACTCCTAGGGAAGATAGACCAAAATTTAAAGACAGCAACGAAACACAAAATATAATTATTTTAACTTCGCCCATAGGAATAACAACGAAAGAAGTGGAAGGCGTATGTAGATCTCTCAAAAATAACAAAGCACCGGGTCCAGGTAACATCTATGCAGAGTTAATTAAACATGATACAACCAAACTATATACAAGTTTAACCAAACTGTTCCAAAACTGCATTAATGGAATGATAACCCCAGAGGAGTGGAAGACATCATTCATATCCACTATACACAAAAAAGGCAGAAGGGATGCATTTGAAAATTACCGAGGCATTGCTGTGATAAACTCGGTCAATAGAATATTCAGAAAAGTAATTAAATTTATTGTATGTAAACCTATGAAAGGCTTATGATAGCGTACCACATTATAAATTATGGGAAGCGTTAGACAAACCAAACATAAGCATGAATAAATAAAGGCCTTAAGTAGGGCCGTTGTTTCTCCCCGACATTATTTAATCTTGAACCTGCTCTAAAACTGTGGAAGCGCAAATGTAGAAATATGGGAATGCCAATAACAACAATAGCATATATAGTTTGTCATTTGCAGATGATCAACTAGTGATAGCACACGATTATGAAGATATTAAGTATATGACTCGAAAATTAATTGAGGAGTATAAAAAATAGGGACTTGAAATCAATATCCAAAAAACCAAGTAACAACAGGATCTCATATTAGAAGATGGAGAAGTTATCAAATATTGCAACACTTATAAATAATATAAGGTATGATCATCACAAAAGAAGGCAACATAGATGACACAATTGAGGAAAAAAACAACCAAGCAAGAAAAGCAATTTCCCTTCTCAATAGTATCTTCTCTCTGGGGTCAATCAATCTCTAATAATAACAAGCACAGGATATATAATACAATCATTAAAAGTATAATTAGCTACAGTAGTGAAGTATGGCAAATAAAGGAAAGATACAAGAGAAAACTTGAGGCAACAGAAATGGATTTCTGGAGATGTTCAGCTGGAAAATCTAGACTAGAAAGAGTAACACAACAGAATAAGAGAAATTATGAAAGTAAAACATACAAGAGTAGACGATATTGGTACCCAACAACTCAGATGGTACAGTCATATACAGAGAATGTCTGAAGAACGTCTCCCAAAACAAGTCTTAATGTGGACCCCTCATGGTAGAAAAAAAAAGAGGAAGACAGAGACATAGAAGAAGACATAGATGAATCGAGAGGAGTGGCAACTGGGTATCAGAACACATAGGAAAACGTTTTAAACCGATCTATATATTTATTTAAAATCTATATTCTAGCAACACTTACCAGAAGTAATATTATTAGCCATTTCAAAACTTTTTGTCCTATAGAATTCCATTTTTCCAGAGGTAGTACATATTATTTTTTGGCTATACATATCACTGTTTGTTTGAAAGTTTCCACTTTCAGAAGTTTGTGTTAGTGTTCTCATATCTATATTCTGTAATAAATCATCAAAAGAATCATTTGCCAATAACTTTTCTTTTGGAGTTGTATGTTTAAAATTTAATCTATATTTACTAACTGGCCTTTGCACATCTCTGACTGGACTAAATTTGTTATCACTTTGTAAATTTTCCTCTACTTGTTGGCTAAATGCAAATAATTGTTCATTTAAACCATCATCCATGAAATCACCAAATTCAAAATCATGGAATTCCTGGGCAGGACCTTCTTCTATTGGAGTGAACGTTTTGTAGGCTGCTTCTTCAATGGGAGATAGCTGTAGACTTTCTTCATGATCGGGTACAGCTAGTTCATTTTTTAGACGCTAAAAAACAAAAACTTATAAGTGATATATTATTAATTAAATAAATAATAAACTTCAGTATATGTCTTAATCATTGCAAATGTGGTGCATTGAGTGCACTCAATGTTCAAAATTGTTCACTTAAATTTAGTTCAAGTTTCGGAATATATAGTGAAAAATAAATTACACAAGTTATCTTATTGTGTTAACTGTGTATTACACTGTAGTAAAAACAGGTATTGTATCAAGTGAAAAAAAAACTAAAAAAAAAACAAAACCCACCTATTCTACAACAATTTTTAATTGAAGGTGATAAATTGGCAACATCGCACTTCACGAAGCCCTTAACGATAACTTTTTAACGAAATCATATTCCACTTATCAATTTTGCAGAGGCATACCAAAGAAAAATTTAATTATTTGTTTAAACACATAAGGAATTATGTAAAAATTCAATCTAAGACCGATATAATTATTAAATTATCATGTGTCTTTTAACAGGTATATTATAGTTGTCTCTGATCTGATTTTCTATAAGCTGCCCAATTGACAAAACGGTTGATGGAATGTCAACCAGAAAGATTTCAAATTAAAACAATTACGTTTTTGACTACTATAAGACCAGTAATATTTGAATTAATTTAAATTTCCTCTTGTGGTTTGTATATTTTGAATTAACAGAAATAAAATTTTCTGTAATAACATAGATAACTTAATCCAATTTTATAGCTGAAAAGATCTTATTTAAACTTATGTAAGTAGAACCATTTTTTTAATGCAGTACTTTAAAACCAACAGAACTACAGCTCTTGGTTTATTAGTGAATATTTAAAATTGAATTTGTACAATGTTGAATAAATAAACTAGAATAAAAACAGATTGGAGTAGAAGAAAGAGAAAGGAAAATCTGTTCAGCTTAAATTTGGTAGGCTAATAAATGATGGGGAGAAGTATGGAAATAGGGAAAAGCAAACAAAAAATTAGAAAAACCAAAAAAATAGTAACAAAGTCTTAGGTATAGGAATCGGGAGATAAGGAACAGTTAACAAATATGGATTAAAATAAAAGAGTAGAGAAAAAATTTATGATAAGCAGGCTATAAAAAAAATATGTGGCACCAGTAAGGAAGTTAAAAATCAAATGATTATAATGTAGAAATTTTAATGTTATAGAATTAATGACACAAGAAACTTTCACTTCATTATAATCAATAGATGTCCAATCATATTTTTATGCCTCTTTGCAAAATACACTGTTCAGCATAATGATTTGTTGCATTTACCATGAGTAATTCATCTGAAAAAAATAATTTGTATATAAAATATAACAACATCGTTAGGTGAAAAGTAATCTGACTGTTGGTTTTCTTTAAAATCATAGTTGACATATGAATTTATCTTACTGATAGATCTCCACTCAATTACAGGGGGTGCTTTCGTTTGTTGTTGGTTTTCTTATTCCCCTACTTCATCAAAATCTATTGACAACAACAAAGATACACTAGATGCATTGATAATGCAAAGTCAGAATTACCACTAGCATCACTATTATCTAAGAAACAGCTGTTCTTAAAGACATTCCTGAAAATTGTGTGGTTGCAGGTGTACTACACTCTCAACAACTTGATTGTTACTATTTGCTAGGAAGTATTTTGAATGACTATTTGATATTTCAAATAACTTTCTTTTCACCACATTTTTTGATAATTTTCACAATTACAAAAACACATGTTATAACCAACAACAAAACAGACATACAGATGTCCAAATGTTTCTATTATGTCAGTGATGCACTACTGACAACTGTATCTGACTCCCTTGATGAAACGATCCACAGGTGAACTGCTGGCTTATTACTGGAGGACAGCGTGGTACATTGGAATGTATATGGAATATTTCTACATACTCGTAAAATACAAATACCCCAAAAAAGAACTATCGCCCGGGGACAAGAAACATTGTAAACTGCAATGTTTTATTGGTATTTAATTGTAAAATTAGACCTGTCCTGAAAGTGTTAAGGAACCATCAAAATTATGTTCTATTAAGATTTTGAGACCATCTGCATGAGAAACATTTAGCCTACCTACATGTATAAACAACTACCTGTAATTCTTCTCTTAACTTTTCTAAATCCTGTGCAGAACTACTGGATGGATGTCTTTTTAATGGAACTTTAGGAGATTGTACTAGTAATCTTTTCTGGCATTTTCTGGGATGTCTTTTTGCTTGTGGTGAGTTCCAATCCCATACTACATCGACATTATCATTAGTTTCTTGAGTACAAGCTATAGGAAGAGGACAATTTTCATTGTCCATATCAGGCTCCACCGTTTTTGGTGAAGGACTTCCTAAAATACAAATTACTAAAATGTGCTAAACAATTTATATTTACTAATTACTTGCTGATTTCACATATGGTCTTTTAGTCCTATCTTGACATTTTTTATTTTGGTTCATTATTCCTAAAAATCAAAACTAAAATTGAAATCAAAATAAATACTGATATTCTCCATTGGCTTAGCTCGGGCATATTTTGACAGATTCATTGTCGGAAACCTACAACACAAAAATTCCTACTTCTCAGTATTAATAGCTCAAATATACTACTATTGCAGACTTATTCCTTTAAAAAAAGAAGAATTATTCCAAATAGTGGAAGTGTATACTAAACCCATACAATTTTCCCTGTATATTTAAAATATAATATTTGAGTTGTTAAAACAACTTTGTTTTACAATTGAACATATTGTAGTAAATATTTGTATTATTCGCGTTGTTTATTATAGTTTTATTGTTCCATTATTTTTGTTTAATTCTTTGTTAGTTATATTTTGAATTTTATTATTAGAGATACCTAGTCAAAGTTTTCCATTTGTTCTATCAGATAATGCGTTGGTAAGTTTTTCTTAAATAAATATAAATCTGATAAATGTTCTTTAAAAATTAATATTTTTAGATGAGTAAAGGATGCTGTTAAATTACTAGGTAATCAAATTGCACAAAGATTTATTCAAAACACCAACCATTTTTGTTTAATTATTTGCCCATTCGGCGTAGGTGGATCATTAAAATATATTTATAAAATTATGTAAATATGTTCTTAATAACAAAAACATTTCAGTTAACATCCAGTTCAGTTTGACATGGCGTCAAAAATTAAATAAAAGTTACAGTAATTTAGTTTACATCGTTAAGTTGCTCCAAATGTAGGCAACCAACTCCAAATGTAGGCAAAACTTTTTGTTAGGATTTAGCTGGAGTTTCTTGAGAATGTTTTTAATAAACGTTTATTATTTTCCAGTTAATTTATTTTTTTAAAGTGATGATAATAATGCCGAATGAGTAATATTTCAAATGATATTTAATCACAAAACGTACTTAATATTGTGTTGTAGTAAAATCCTCATAATAAAGTACGTTAGATAAAAAAGGTAAAATCCCGGGCCGTCCAAAACTAGTTTCTAATAGGAATAATAGAAGATTATGATTTGTTTTAATTATATTTTTGATGATATTGGATTATATTTTTCTATTGATACTTTATAACACAATATTAAGTACGTCCTGTGATTAGACATCATTTGAAATATTGCTTATTCAGCATTATTATCATCACTTTTAAAAAAATAATAAATTAACTGGAAAATATTAAATATATTCTCAAGAAACTCCAGCTGAATGCCAACACAAAGTCTAAGTTGGTTGCCTACATTTGGCGCAACCTAACGATATAAACTAAATTACCGTAACTTTTTTTATAAAATATATTTTTTATATATAATAGAAACTTACATTCTATATACCTACATGCTATAAATTTCTAATTCATAGTATAATTTTGCAAAAGAGGTCGACGAAATACTCTAATGAAATGCGCTATGAGCACGTGTACTTGGTTGTATAATAATTTCCAGCCACTTCTAGTCTGTCAAAAAGTAACGAACTTCGTAAAAACATAATTACTAAAATCACTATAATAGCGAACCGAGTTTAACAACTTACTCAAGAAGGGTAACCAGTGTTGCCAACTTGAGTTTGCGTTGACAATTGGTTGACACCACGGTTCCTAGACTTAAGACAGTTTTACATTATGCTATTTTCATGCTAGGCAAGAGCCATGCAAGACAGATCATGGAACTGCGCATGCCCACGGGCTATTTCCATGCAATTCCTGTGCTAGACGAAAAATTAGAACATGTTCTATTTTTCATGCAATTTTCTTGCAATTTATCGTTAAAATTCATGTTGCCAACGTAACAATTTATAATAGATTACAGAATAAAACATAACCTTATCTCTATCTTTAGCGTCCCTTAGCCCACGTGGTATTGTTGTGTTTTGATTTAAATTAAGTTTATTAAGTGGTGATAAATAGATGTACTATGTCTAAAGTTAATAGTTTTGTTCGCGGAGACAGTCCCTGACTAGTTTTGGATAAATTTCGGACCGATTTGGGATTAACGTTGTGCGCTGGCGCGATTAGTTACTAGTTTTTAACAGCTATTTCTCCGCGAACGATTTCCGGACATTTCTGACTGTTTCTAACCCCAAAACATCAACACGCTGTTTTGTTTATATGTACAAGAAGGAACACAGACGTTTTACAAAAATTTATTTTAAAGACGGTATTGCTATATTGTCAAAATGTGTAAGTAAAAAATAAGGTACTAGCACAGAGTAATAAACAATTGTAATAATAAGCAATAATAAATAATCATAAATTGTTGTTTATTCTGCGGTGCTAGTGTAGTAAGACGGAACGATGTCTACGGAGATGAAATTGATATCAATCACCCTGAACGTCCAGAATTTCCTCTAAATCCTCATCGTTGGATGTAAAATAATCGCCTATCTATAAATAACATTCATTTTTTAATACTTATAAATATATGTACTGTTTTTAGTTACATATTTACTTTAGAGAATAGAGAATACAGATTATATTGCCGCTTCTCAACAAAAATAAATAATAGGTTAGTTAGTATTATAACGATTGACCGAAAAAAAAAACAAACACAAAACCTGACAATTTACAGTTTCTATAGCGCTTGCGCTAACTAAAAATCCGCACTCTAATCCATGAACCAAATGGACTGATCATGAACCAGTTTGGAACTCTCCGCGAACATCGAACTCTTTGTCAAAGTCATAGACCAAAACCATTTTTGTCTATGGTCAAAGTCCAGCAGCGGGACTCCGTGCCACATAGAATTCTATCGTAGAATTCTATTGTCGTTTTCTATCTACAACGGCGATAGTAACGTGTATTGGCACTCCGTGCGTATGTCGTTTCGCTTCGGTATTTTCCGATCTCTCTATTATTGGATGTAAAAATATCGCATTTATTGTCTATTATCTTTGTTTGTAACACATTTTAGAGAAAGAAAGTACTATTTTTGGGGTTTTTAATTGTTTGGGTTGACTTTTTCGGTTTCGGTTTATTATGCGGGTCATTTGCATGCTGCTGTTTGTTTTTGTTATTTAAAGTCATTTTTAAAGAGCTTCGTCTTCGTTATATTTTTGGATAAAAATGAGGGCCCGAATGGAACATTGGGAAATGTTGCTTTCATTTTGCCAAGAATATCCAAAATTAATAACAAATAAATTTAATGGAATTGAGGGACGAGCTAAAGGAATAGCTGTGTGGCAAACTGTTACCACAAAATTAAACAGTTTAGGATATGGCGAAAAAATCATAGGGGGTGGAGATCCAAAGAATTTCAGCAGAGGAGGAATGGCTACTGAATTATTTGTGTGTACCATATTGGATGCAATTTGATTATAAACATATTGTGCCATCTCCTTATTCAACCTAAAGAGTTCTTTAAATCGAATATCTTCTATAGCGAAAGGATTGCTTTCATTTCGCATTTGGCGTCTTGTTAACGCTTCGATACGAATTTGCTCTAACCGCTCCTCATTTTCCCCTGCTAGTATGTTTATTATATTAATAGGTAACATGCCTACACTATTTCCACGATCTCAGCAAAATAAAATAAACTCTTACGTAAAAACCAAAAACAGTTAGAATGTACACATAATAACTTATTGTTATTTCTCTATGATGTACACATAACCTTAATCTCCAAAATAAAAATAAATAAATTTACTGTCAATTTGCTTTTGGAATATAATACGCTTGCGCTATATAGAATTCGATAGGTCTCTGGAGATAGAAACGAAACGACCAAAATAATAGCATTCATGCGACAATGCGGATATACGGAGTGCCAACGTTGTAGAATCTTCTCTATATGTAGAATACTACATGGCACAGAGTCCCACTGCAGGATTTTTAACACCGCGAACGCCTGAAAACAGAACTGCGCATGTGAAACAGTCAGAAACCAGTCAAGGACTGTCTCCGCGAACAATACTAATATAAAAACGACTGGGTGAGTCGTTGACTATGGATGATTGTTGCTACAACAGCAATATTCGACAATAACAATGTTTTCTTTTCTTTGGTTGACATCCTTCACCCTTTTAATAACCATAAATAGTATATATTTATTTATTATATTATGTATTTTAGTACTTAATTATATTTTTTATTTAAAATAAAATAACCTCAAATTGATAAATATTTTCTCTGTTGGCAACAATGAAAGTGGGATCTAAAATTGCACAGAAATATATCTGATGTAAAAAGGTCAAGCTAGGCAAGAGATGTGCCATGCAAGACGGACTTGCATAGCATGAGACTTGCATAGCCTAGATGTAAAGCTGCCTTTACTATAAAAAAATAGTAAGTCTACGAACCGTGGGTTGACACCTGCTTTGCGCATGTGCGGTTTCCTATTGTCTATTCGCTTAGCTAAGGCATATTTTGACAGACTCATTGTCGGAAACCTACAACACAACAATTCCTACTTCTTAGTATTAATAGCTCAAGTATACTACTATTGCAGACTTCTTTCTTTGAAAAAAAGAAGAATTATTCTAAATAGTGGAAGTGTATACTAAACCCATCAAAATTTCTCTGTATATTTAAAATATATTTGAATTGTTACAATTTAAAATATTGTAGTAAATATTTGTATTATTCGCGTTGTTTATTTAATTTAATATAGTTTTATTGTTTTATTATCTTTGTTTAATACTTTTGTTAGTTCTATTCAGTTAATTAGTTAGTTATATTTTAAATTTTATTATTATGGATAGTCAAAGTTTTCCATTTGTTCCATCAGCTAATGCGTTGGTAAGTTTTTCTTAATAAATATGATAAAATGTTTTTTAAAAAGTTTTTTTTTTAAGTTAATATTTTTAGATTAGTAAGGATGCTGTTCCTAGATTACAAGGTAATAAAACTGCACAAAGGTTTATTAAAAATGTTTACCATTTTTTAAAATTATTTGCCGAATGAAAACCCTGTTGAGGTAAGTTGATCATTAAAATGTATTTATCGAATTATGTAAATGTTGTAAATACATAAGGAACTTGCTGTGACTTATTCTTATTTAACCTCACTTTGACTTCTTAATTTTGTAGAATTTATTCCCACTTTTTTATTTTGTACAATAAATAATTTT